TATTGCAAGGCACATCACAATCTCAATATATAGAAATATAACTGCAATACTAGTATTAATTCCGCAACGTGCAGCCCTATTGAGGATGGGTACGATGTTTTGTATGGGTACAGAGATAGCTTTGTAGAGGAAGTCATAAAATTCTTTGTGTATAAAATATAAGGAACGTAAGTGTTCATGTGTGTAAACTGTACAGTGCTCTGTATAACCACAAGTCAGATGTGTGTGTGTGATTCCTGTCAGGAGCCCTCTCAGAGTCAGGCGCTCATTCATTGGAACCCCTGCAGAGAGGAGTGCGGAGCAAAACTTTCAGCCCGCCTCCCAACAAACACTGCTATTGTTCATTAACCGCATTGTCCAGGTCAAAACAAATGGGCGAGAACAGGACAAAGGAAGACTGCAAGCACAGGCCTTTGTTTCCTTCACTGCAGATATATAGTCCTGCTCCTTATTCCCCACACCACTTTACGATTTATGGTCAATCACTTGGAAAAAAAAAGAAAGAAACGAACACAGGTTGACCTCATTTTCTTTCGGGAGGTGTCCCGTGTCATTTTCCCGCTGCGTCTGATCACCCTTGCGAGCACATTAATGCATTTGTAATAATGTTTATGGTTGCCGTCTGCGTCTTCCAAATAACTCGGGAACAATCTCTGCCATCCGATAATTTACGGCTGTCAAGCAGCCCGGAGCCGCCGAGATTCCGGATAATTCCTCCGGCAGCCGCCGACAGCTCTGACAGTGTGTGCAACACTTCTTCTGATGCCTCTCGCCACCCCAAACAAACACCCTAACACACACACAAGCGTGCACACACTCTGGAGAGTATAATTAATAGCGCGAGGGAATAGCATAAAGAATCTAACCTACTTTTAGATTGACAACGAGGCCTTTCTCGCCGAGAGGAGACGCGCTGTCTTGATCTTGTAAAAGCAGCTCAATCGTGCATAAAACATGAAAATATACCGTTTTACGCTCATGCCACATTGCTCCTAATGACGGCCCATACGGCTCTGCTGGGGCTGTGATTGCTGCTTTCGCTAAAGCGGTGCGCTTGCGATTTCATGTTAAGGATTCCGAATATCCCTGCATTGTCATTGTGCCGCATTTTTCTTTATGTGTGCTTGAAAGCATGTGACAGGAGTGTTCAAGGAGAAATTGTCTAGAAAGACAAACAGTAGAAGTGGCAACTCATCCAGTCTAAACCTCGGTCTTCACTGCTCATGGTGGCAGAGTCTGTCTGTCATACGCTCTGGCCTGTCTGGGGTACACCTCAGGACAGGAGCACACAGTGACATTTTAAAGTTTCTGAAATGTTCGACAATTATGTCAATTTGCAAGCAACTAATGTTTATTTTCGTCCAGTTTTGCTAAAGTTTTTATTTCTCCAAAGACAGTGGAGAATTGGTTGGCACTGACGTACTCCTACTTGTTGGTTTGCACTGATGAACTCTTACTTAATGCATGGGAAAAGACTCTGTGCTCTTTGTTGGTAAGAGTCGCTCACACTGACCAGCTCAAACTCAGTCCCAAAAGCAGTTGGAGGATCCAGAGTGGCGTGACTGTCTAAACGTTGGCCCTGTCATCAGGAGATCAGGGATTCGATCCCTGGTGATGCTGCAGTCAGCCAAGGCCGGGAGTCCAAGAGAGCACAGTTGGCCTCGCTCTCTCTGGGTGGGATGGATGGCCCCCCGTCTCCGCCCATCACTCAGGGTGATGTTAGTTAGCTCAGATATCTGTTAGCTGACGTAACAGAATTTCCTGTTTCCTAGTTTCTAATCACTTAACCAGAACTTTCCTTTAATTTTAGACAGTAGAAGGATGGATTTCACTAAAAAAGCAAAGAAAACTCACCTGTATGGTTTCCTTTTTCTACAGCAAACGGGTTTTGGGCAGCAGAGCGCTAACATTACTGCTACTGAGTGTTGATTGGTTGGTGAGCGGAGCAGCTCATTGGCTGTTTGCGCTCACTGATGTCATGAACGTATACAAGGCACCGTTTTAAACTCCTATAACTCGAGTTTAAAAGCTCTTAAAAATATAACAGCAGTGTTAAAGTGATTTATGCTGCTCTGTGTTCAGGAAATGAATGTGTTCTTTTATATTAAAATGTTTAATCATTTATAAAGTATGATTTTCCTCAAATGCTCCATATTAACCCATTCATTTTGGACTCGCTCGGGAACGCCCTCTAGCGTTTGAGAAACCTGGAAGACATTACAGAGTGGGAATTCTCCTCTCTACAAGTTCTCTGGTGGAGCTTCACAGGACTAGGAAGAAGCCTGTGTTTGCCTTCGGCCTCTTAACACTGGTGGTATCGTGTAATTGGTTAAGTCCTAACTAGTGGGTGGAATTGGATACAACTAAATTGGGGAGAAAATTGGGAAAAATCCAAAAAAAAAGTTGGGACAGTACATGAAATGCAAAAAATAAATAAATAAAAATTTAAAATAATAGTAAAAAACAGAAGGCAATTGTTTGCACATCCACTTTGACCTGTATTTAAACAAAAACAAAAGACAAGACATTTAATGTTTTACCTTATCAATTTAAGTCTAGCAGCACTGTTAAATGCTTGTGTCCTTTATGAGCCAGGAGGGGTCAATACTCACCACTTTGCCAAAAATGCATCAGCATATTGTCCAGCTCTTTAAAAACAATGTTCTTTCACAAGGATTTTAGGTATTTCACCCTCTAGAGTGCATGGAATTATTAAAAGAGTCAGGGAATCTGGAAAATTCTCTGCGAGGCCAAAAACCACAACTGAATGTTCATGACCTTCGACCCCTCAGATGGCACTGTATTAAATACTGGAATGCCTCTATGATGATCACACATGAATATCTATTTGCTGCAGACATTTATTCAAACCCTGCTGTTCTGTATTGACTCCCAAAAATGCGCTTAGTCTTTAGTTACTAGAGTTACGTTTTAATCAGTAACTGCTATGAAACTGATATGCAAGGCCTGTATTCACTGAAGTGTCCACTCGCATCCTGGTCCTGGCAGTTTAATCGCTTAACAAGCCAAAGTTTTATTACACACTTCTATAACCTAAGAATAGCTCCATTAGTTTGCATTCAAGTCCCTGTAGTTACTGAATAATAAGCCTTTATATGAAATAAACCTGGATTGGTCAGGAGTTAAAGGTAATCATATTATTTTAACAGTAATAAAACACTTTATGACTTATTACATTGAGTAATAAATGGCCCTCTCACCATTATTATGGACTCATGTGACTGCAGTTATTTGAGCTGACCACAGTCAGGTTCTATAGGACAGTGAAGGTCAGGGTTGTCAGCCTTCACAGTCGTTATGTTTATGCCGTGACAAACAATGTGAACTGGGTTCATTCTCCTCCATTATATTGAGGCTAATTAATGTAAATATAAGAAAGCAGAGATGCGTTTATTGAGACAACGTCATGGGTCTTAGAGAAACAACACATGTTCTAGCTTTTAATTGTTGTACTAAAACGTTTAGAGGACAGTTTGTTCATTTGTGAGTTAGCTAGATAACTTTGTTTGTTTTGCTCATATTTTCAATATTTCAAGAAATACAGTAGCTTTATTTGATTCTACTCATAACTCTGCGTAATTATACGGCTTACATGCACACAGCAGTGCATGTACCATTTCATGCATACACGATTCTTTGCATGGCAAAATCGTTCTTCAAACTGATGCAGGATACATTATCTGTGGTTCTATATAGAACCTTTTTGAAAATGGTTCTGCATAGCACCAATTGTTACCTTTTGTTACAATGTCAAAAAGGAACCATTTCATGCTTATGTGGTTCTTTACATGGCGAAATGGTTCTTCAGATTGATGGAGAATGTGTTGCATATGGTTCCATATAGAACTTAAAAATGGTTCTATATAGCGCCAATTGTTGCCTATTGTTACAATGCCAAAAAGGTTCCATATACAACCATATACAATACATTCTCCATCAATCTGAATAACCATTTCACCATGCTTAGAACCATTTAAGCATGAAGTGGTTCTATATAGATCTCATGGTTCTAAACAGAACCATTACCTTTACTAGAGAACCCTTGAAGAAGCATCTTTTTTCCTGTCAGTATAATTAAATGTGCTGTAGATGGTTCTATACAGAAAACATTTGAAAAGAATTCTTCTATTGTAACAAACTTGACATTGCCATAATGGTTCTCTATGGTTCTAAAGGGATCTTCAGATTGATGGAGAATGTGCTTTAGATGGTTCTATATGGAACCAAAAGGGTTCTTCTTTTGTTTCAATGTCAAGCTTATACTGATAGAAGAACCCTTTTTGGTGCTATATAGAACCCTTTTCAAAAAGGTTCTATATAGAACCATCTACAGCACATGCTCCATCAATCTGAACACCCTTTTCATGATGCAAAGAACCCTTTAATCATACCAAGGGTTCTTTGAGTGTTCATGGTTCTATATGGTTGTAAAAGGGTTCTTCAGGTTGGTGGAGAATGTGCTGTAGATGGTTCTATACAGACCCTTTTTGAAAAGAGCGGCAAAAAGGGTTTGCTGTCAGGGTTCTATTGTTTCAGTGTCAAGCTTGTAACAATAGAAGAACCCATGCTATATAGAACCCTTTTTTAAAAAAAAAGGTTTTAAAGGTTTTAAAGTTTGAAACATCTATAGCACTTTCTCCAACAATGCAGAGGGTTTTTTGAGTGTTCATGGTTCTATGTAGAATCATTTCCTTTACTAAAGAACCCTTGAAGAACCATGGTCTTAAGAGTGTAGTCTGGGTTACAGCAGTAATAAAACCTAGAAGAAAGCATGCAATAAAACACCATTATAAATACAATTAAGGCAATAATAAGGTCATAAATAAGGCAAATAAATATCTAAATATAAGCACAAGTGAGCAAAGTGTGAGGATAGAAGTGATACAGTAAATACAGTGCAGAATTTATCAAGACTCAAACTGCAGCGAAGCCCTGATGTGGAATAACAGTAATAATTCCTTCTTCATGTGTGTCCACAGCTGCCCCAGGCCCCCCAGGCCCAGCCGACTCCCCCGGTGTCTCAGCCAGGCCTGCTGCGAATGCCCCACAGCCAGAGCCCTCTGCGCCAGGCCTCTTCTTCCTCCTCAACATCATCATCCTCGTCCTCAGCTCTCAGCGTGGGACAGCTGGTTAGCAGTGAGTAACCACAGCAACACTGCACCACACTACACTACGCTACGCTACATGTGGCCACATTTATGGACGCCCGCACTTCGTGCTCGCTCTCATTCTCTCCCGCACGCACAAACCCGCATAAAATTACAGGTTAGTGAAGTGGTGGTTATCGCGGTATGTCTGGCTCTAGCATGCACTTCAGCTTTGAAAGGAAATAATGGTATGAATACCCTGAAGTGAACAGGGGTCATAGCGCAACATCACGGGTCCAGGCACAAAGCTCTGGTCAGCCCACAAGACAAAGAATGTCGCTCCTTTTGAGCCTGGCTCTTCTACTTCTCTCTGCCGTCTGTATGACCCAACGCCGCAAACTCCACCGATATTTCTTCATCTCTTCGTCAGCAGCCGAACGGTTCTTAGCATTTTTTTTTCGGCACACTATTAAAAAACTGTACGCTTCACGAACAGAGAGGCTGTGTGGAGTTGCTTAGCCTCGGCTACCGCCACATATAAATCACTCTCGGCTGCCTGTCACAGCCGCGGCGTCCCTTTAAAAACTGCTTTACTTAGATAAATTCTCATTTGTCACAGGCAATTGCCCTAAACCCATTTCAAAGGCATCTGCTATGGAGTTTTGAATTCAATAAAAGGGAAGTTGCCATTGATCAACTTGTTGTGAACACAGCCAATGGACTGATTCATATTTCTTTTTTTCCTCCTTCTTCTGTGTCAACATGTACATAATACCTCTGGCATTCTCCATTCATTTTGTCAATTTGCCGCCAGGGTGCAGTTTTCTATGCCACACTGTGTTTGTCGCAATGTCCTTGGCTAACACTAACTCCGCACAACGCGGCTTTGAATGGAGGGGAAAAAATCAAAGTGACCCACAGCCACAAAAGCCTGAATGTTTTTTGCTTGGCTGGAAGAAGTCCAATCCCAGACTTTGCGTTCAGCTCAAAAAGGACGAGAAAACAAATCCATAGCCATACAGTAAGGCCGTGTCTACATTCATGGCATTTTTGTTTGTTTTTTTTATTTTATTTATTTTTTTTATTCATAATCATTCAAAATAGTACCTGAATGCTGCTGAATGTGCCTGATTTTTTAAAAAAAATATTGTTTGGGAAGTTTGAAAGAACGGTGGCTGCAGGTCGAAGTAAGAGTACTGTGAGATTAAGTTTGTAAAGAGATCTGTTTTTATATTCTGCAGATGTAATAGTTGTTCTTGTATCATCAGTCTTGATAGAGTTATAACAAGGTTTGGGCAAAATACTTTGAAAAAAGTAGAGATGATCGAATATCAAATACACTGTCCTCAATGTATATCAGTAACATATTCCATTACAGTACACAAAAAAGTAAAGTATTCAGAATATATATAAATACATTTATACTACATACTGATAAGGCACATACGAAAAAAACTTAATTCACTGTTACAAACAGAAGAGTTCAGTAATGCTGAGATTAATAACTGATCATCACACTGATTTATCAGTCGACTCAGGCTTTAGCAGAGCTCAGTAACACTGAGATTAATAACCGATCACATTGATTTATCAGTCTACTCAGGCTTTAGCAGAGCTCAGTAACACTGAGATTAATAACTGATCACATTGATTTATCAGTCTACTCAGGCTTTAGCAGAGCTCAGTAACACTGATTAATAACTGATCATCACATTGATTTATCAGTCTATTCAAGCTTTAGCAGAGCTCAGTAACACTGATTAATAACTAATCATCACATTGATTTATCAGTCTACTCAGGCTTTAGCAGAGCTCAGTAACACTGATTAATAACTAATCATCACATTGATTTATCAGTCTATTCAAGCTTTAGCAGAGCTCAGTAACACTGATTAATAACTAATCATCACATTGATTTATCAGTCTACTCAGGCTTTAGCAGAGCTCAGTAACACTGAGATTAATAACTGATCACATTGATTTATCAGTCTACTCAGGCTTTAGCAGAGCTCAGTAACACAGATATTAATAACCGATCATCACATTGATTTATCAGTCTACTCAGGCTTTAGCAGAGCTCAGTAACACTGAGATTAATAACCAATCACATTGATTTATCAGTCTACTCAGGCTTTAGCAGAGCTTAATAACACTGAGATTAATAACTGATCACATTGATTTATCAGTCTACTCAGGCTTTAGCAGAGCTCAGTAACACTGAGATATTTTATAATTATTTAACCCCTTAAAGGCACAATCCTTTTACCTACTAAAGCTTATTTTGCAGCGATTACATGGATTACAATGCAAACTGGCTATTATTCTTATGTTATAGTTATAGAAGCGTATAGTAAAATTTCGGACCCGTCGGTGGGTCCTGGCTATTTAAGAGGTTATATGAAAAATTGTGGTGAATAGTCTTGTTTTGCAGAAAACATCCTTTACTTCATTTGCCATGTTTTTGTCTTTTCTTTTTGTCATTAAAATGAGTAGAAAAAAATTGGAAGTGCAGTCAGCACATCTCAACCTCCTAACTATGTAAATAATTATGCAAATACAATTAAATAGAAAAGCAAAATGACAGTAACAGCTTTAAATATTGTACCCAAAACATTTCTTACATTAACTCAATTTAGTTAAGCCACACATTTCTGTTCAGTCCAACAGAGCAGAGCTTACATCAACATCAACAGAAAATTCAACTGTCGATGGAACAAAATTGAAATATTTCAGTGCAGTTTCAGTTATTATTCCATTGTTTCAGTCTCATTGGAATAATATCATCAATCATCAGTTTTACTGAACTGGAATTCTCTTTGGCTCAGCATAAACCATATTCATTTATTGAAATGTGCTTCAATGTTTTTGTCCATTATAAGTAAAAAAAAAATTACTTAAATACAACACAATTATTGCACTGCAAAAAATGGTCTCTTCTCAAGTGAAATGATCTGAAATCTAGTCGGTTTGTCTAATATTTCCCATTTTGATTTGGCTGTGCACTTATTATAAGAATTTCTAGATTCTTTCTGGACATTATTTACTTGTTTTAAGTAATTTTATTAAGTAAAAATATCTCACTATACCGGCAGATCATTTTGCTGGTTTCACACACATTTCTTACAACAAGCAAAATGATCTGCCAACACAGTGAGATAAATTTACTTAATAAAATCACTTAAAACAAGTAAAAAATGTTTGGAAATAAGTTAAATAATCTTATAATAAGCTCACAACAATCTCAGCAGGAGAAATATTAAATTTACTAAGTAGATTTACGGTAATTTTACTTGACGCACTACCATTTTTGCAGTGTGTATTTAATATCGACATGTTTTCAGTTTGTAAATCCAGCAACCCAGCTGGAAACAAATGTAGGCATATTAGGCTGTTGAGAAACAAAAAGTCATACGTTTTTAGTCATACAATATTTTAAAAACGCTTTTTTAACACAATTAAACGTTTAATGTGTCGTTCTGAAACGCCTTCTTTTGTCTGGCTGACTCTGAGCCATTCAGCGCCTCACCATTAAACACTATGTTAAACATGAGCACAGAGCAGACGCAAGCGCGACTCCACATTTGAAGATCACATTTACTTATGAGGGGTGACAAGGGGGCCGGTTCAGTAGGTTTTACCTTCGATACGCCTGGAGGACGCCTTTAATAATTTATGGATAATGACCAGCATGAATTATTTAATCTGCCAAACTTTTTCCCTCATAAGCAGGATGCCAGGGCAAGGGCCAGCGATGCACAACAGAAAATCACATATTACTGACCAGGAGGCACTTTGATATCAAAGTGTGAAAGATTCCTTTTATCCAGAAGAAGTTTTTAAACGAATAGCTCGCATTCCTGTAACTGCTGGAATCGACTAAGTGTGGCCACTTGTTCTGACTCTGTTGATCTAGGACAAGAAAGAATTCTTAGCTATAATGGGCTGGCATTCCTTCTGGAAAACTCCTCTTTTTGGAACTTCTTTTTGTCCCTTTTTTGCTTGTGACATTCTTTCAGTCTTCTCACGAACCTTTGGAAATGGCAATTTGCGAGACGAGTTGCTGTATAGTTGCCACATATTTGCGGCTTGTACGCCAGAGTTTTCAATTTAGCGATGAATGTATCCATTGTCATCCGAGAGAGCTTATCAAATCAAATAGTAGCCGCTCTCTTTGATGGATCATGAAGGTCTTTTCAAATGAGATCTCAATTCAAAGCTACATTTCCAGTACAATTTCCTGTACGTTTTAAGGACAGTCAAGTGTTCTCACAAACTTTTAGTAATGCCGCTAAAATAGCTCTTTGTCATCAAAGGAAAAGCTCGGCGAAACATGCTAATGTGGCTGTCAGCGCATGGAAGTTAGTAGCCACCAGTCAGCACCAGTTCAGTTGAATAGTGCCAGTATACGTGACATGAATGCTAAATTATTTGCCTTTTTTCCATTTGTATTTTTTCGTTACATTACATCCAACACAATGGGTCATACTGCACTATAATGAGGCGAGAGAGACGATGATATAACTGACACATCAGACCGCTGACGCACATCCTCGCTCTGCTCTCTCATTGGCTGTGTTTACATGCAAAGATTTTTGCTAATCTGATTGAATACATTCTGATTATAGATTAAGACTGAGGTGTTTATTCTCACTCTACTCAACAATCTGATGGAAAATCTTCGTTTACATGCTCACCACAAGTAATCAGATCCAAAATTACGCTCATGCGTAGAGAACCACTTAGTGTAGACGTTACCATGACAACCAGCATCACGTGAGTCCAGTCAGAGTGAGATGAGCAGCAGTGAGCAGCGCTTGTGTTTTTTAATTGCTTTAAAATGAAGTCAGACTCAGGAAAACGTCCTTCACATGTCCTTATTAAAGAAGGCCGAGAGGAAGACGTCTTGTTCTGAGACACATAAGCTGGACGTCCGTCCCACCGCCGTCTTTTAAAGATCAGAGCATAAACTTCGTCTCCTCTGCAGACCAGTTTCTGCTCCGCCATGTTGAATGGTATAAACTTTCACTATGACGCGACGAACATGTAGAACGGACTTAAACCTTCCGATAGGGAATGTAATCAGATACAGGCGTTTACACGGATATTATTCTTCTATTTAACAGATTATTTACAGGATTACCCACCTCGTTCAGTCAGATAGGAACTGTATTCCAGATGGCCTCAATCTGACTAGTCTAGTTTGATTGAGGTGTTTACATGGACGTTTTCTATTCCAATTGAGCTATTAGTGGGATTATTAACGGATTATTAGGCTGCATGTAAACGTGGCTATTGTGGACGCAAATTAACTGACCAATTGTTGATGTGTCACTAATTGAGACATGGCTGCGGTCATGCAGTGAGATTTAACACTGGAACACACACTGAGTGGGGGACATAACAGTTGATAAAGCGTTATAATCACGTTAGATGACTTTTGTAAGTTTGAAAACAGTATTAGGCCACTTTGGGTTTCAGAACTGGCCTCTATCTCTGTACACACTTTCACTCTTTGAACCTCAACCTGTGCGTGCTTTAGTGACGTGCCCAAGGCATCCGGCTGTCATTGAGGAAAGTGATTCGGTTCCTTAGTTAACTTAAACAGTGGTGCTACTGTAGATTCTGAAAATGTTCCACACTCTTAAAAAAAAGGGTATTCAAGGGTTCTTTAGTAATGAAAATGGTTCTATATAGAACTATGAACACTCAAAGAACATTTTGCATGATTAAAGGTTTCTTTGCATCGTGAAAGGAATGGTGAAAAAAGTGTTCTTCTACTGTGACGATGTCAAGCTTACCAACAATAGCTTACTAACAATAGAGCAACCCATTTCAAAAGGGTTCTATATAGAACCATCTACACCACATTTTCTCAACTGACGAACCCCTTTTAGGATGCAAAGAATGTTTTAATCATGCACATTTTCTTTGAGTGTTCATGGTTCTATATAGAACCATTGTCTTCACCAAAGAACCCTTGAAGACCCATCTTTTTTAAGTGTGTAGTAAAAAGAGACAAATACTCCTCTCAGCAAGGACACATGGGTCTGTACTGCGCTCAAATAATTAAAAAAGTTCAGATCTCTGTATTATTATTATTATTATTATTATTATTATTAATAATTATTTTATCATGAATGGACCAAAAGAAACGACCCAGAACTACTTGAAAAAGTCTGGTTCCATTGACTTACACTAAAAGTAAAGTAGTTTTTTTCCTCTCCTGTAAAGTCACCATTTCGGAGATACAAGGTTTTCTTCTGACAACAACGATATTATTGTATTGTTATTGTTTTATATATTATGAATGTTTTTAGCCGTTTAAATCCTGCAATCAGGGGATGCTGCAGCCCAATCATTCCCACATCCCTGGATTTATGTAGCTCTAACGTCCTCAAACGCCAGAGTTGTGATCACTGAATGGTATGATTAAGCATAATTATGTCCTTTCAAAGACGTGTGGATAGATTATATCTTTGTTCCCTTGTTTTTTCTGCCCCTCAGACCCTCAAACTGCCCCCAGCGAAGTGGACGGGGTAAATCTGGAGGAGATCCGGGAATTCGCCAAAGCGTTCAAAATTCGCCGCCTGTCTCTAGGCCTGACACAAACTCAGGTGGGCCAGGCCCTCAGTGCTACGGAGGGGCCTGCCTACAGCCAGTCTGCCATCTGCAGGTAAGGAGGACCAAGCGCAAAAACAAGCTACAGAACTATTTTAGTAGTCATTCACCTGTTACACCACAAATGTTGGTTGCGTATAGTGAAAGGAGCAGGATGGACTGAAGATATGGATGAAAATCCCAACTTCTCAAAACCTTAAAACTTCTCAAAACCTTCTCAAACGTTTACACACATCTTAATTTCAGTTGAAGTCAGTGCATTTCTCAATTAATGCCCACCTCACTGCGGAGGGTCCATAGAGTTCTTCTGACTCTCAAATAAGTAGTATGAAATTAGGCTGCTAATTGTGCATAAGGAGGAGAATTACAGTTATTGTTATGCTAGAAATATGAATGTCTTTTGTTCCTAAAACAACAAAGATACAAGTGCAGACTACCATAACTGTGTTATCAAATAGGCCCATAAATGAAAAGCAATGAGAAATTAGCAACTTAAATGAACTGTAATCTGTAATGGCTAATTTAAAAGCAAAATTCTAACTCTTTACTTATCTTATATTATATGTTAGTATATCCCAGTATCTTGTCAGGTGAAATGATCTTAAATCTAGTCAGTATATCTAATATTTCCCATTTTGAGATGGCTGTGCACTAATTATGAGATTATCTATCTTATTTCTCGACATTTTTTTACCTGTTTTAGGTAATTTTAGTAAGTAATTAATTATCTCACTATACCGGCAGATAGTTTTGCTGGTTTCAAGCACATTTTTTAAAACAAGCAAAATTATCTGCCAATATAATGAGATTACAATCACTTAAAACAAGTACAAATATCTAGTAATAAGGTAAATAATCTTAAATTAAGCTTACAACAATCTCAATAGGAAATATTAGATTTATTGACTATATTTTAGATAATTTTACTTGACAAGCCACCATTTTTTGCCATGACAATCACTACACTGTCTGAACCTGTTACCCAATTAGAAATCCGCTCTATACGCCTGCAATATCCAAGACTTGTATGTATATTTAATCAGAAGTAATTAAGATATTAAAGAGAATATATATAATTCACATCCCAACTCAGAAACATTTTGGTACGTCTTCAGTGTCTGTCCAGCTTGTGTCCTGTCTGTATGCGAGGATCCAGTTAGCTGAGGTATTACACGATGCACTTAAAGCGGTTAATAATTACTAAGGTCCATTGCCGTGTGTTTGTCGTGCATTTAGCTAAAGAGGACGTGACAGGACTAGACTTTTAATAAAAATGACATGTTTCCACAGCACAGCAACATGGAGTGGGACATTATGGAGCATTACTGATAAAATATTCAGCAATGTCTCAAACTCACCTTTAAAAACGTGCATAATACACACTCTGACTCTTCATCAGACGCGGCGATGTCATGTCGGCTTACGCAGTGCATGTCAGGTCATACAGAGTCCTGTGCAAAAGTCAGAGACCACCTTCCATTTATTTAACCCCTTAAATGACCAGAGCCCACCGGCAGGCCCCAAGTTTTAATACACACTTCTATAATCTAAGGAAAGCTCAGCCGGTTTGCACTGAAGTCCCTGTAGTTACTGAATAATAAGCCTTAGTTTGTAATAAACCGGAGGATTTTAAGGGGTCAATTTCTAGTTAATATAGCCACCAAGTTAATCATCTTTCAGGAGATATTTCTGAAGATTGGTGGAGAACGTGCTGAAGATGGTTCTACATAAAACCTTTTTGGTACCAAAAACGACCCCTCTTTTGTTTTAGTGTCAAGCTTGTAATGATAGAAGAACCCTTTTTGGTGCTATATAGAAACCCTTTTCAAAAAGGTTCTATACAGAACCTTCTACAGCACATTCTCCGTCAATCTAAAGACCCTTTTCATAATGCAAAGAGCCATTTAATCATGATGGAGAATGTGCTGTAGACCAAAAAGGGTTCTTCTATTGTTTCAGTGTCAAGCTTGCAATGATAGAAGAACCCTTTCTGGTGCTATATAGAACCTTTTTCAAAAAGGTTCTATACAGAACCTGCTACAGCACATAGAAGGTTTATTTACCCCCTTAAATGGCCAGAGCCTGTCAGCAGGCCCGAAGTTTTAATACACACTTCTGTAATTTAAGGAAAGCTCAGCCGTTTTTCACTGGGAGTCCCTGTAGTTACTGAATAATAAGCCTTAGTTTGTAATAATCCTGAGATTTTAAAGGGGTTAATTTCCAGTCAGTCAATATAGCCACCAAGTTACTCATCTTTCAGGAGATATTTCTGAAGAGAATAAATTTAAAGTAATCTACTTGCATTAAGGAGCCAAAAGTCAGAGAAAATTGAAGATTTACAACCATGCAAGACCTGGAAGAGCATCAACACTGTCAACAAACAGACAAAAAAAAGAAAATTAGCAAAGCAAACAAAGAAGCTGCTGATATTCTCAGAACAATGGACTGACCACCCCAGTCCAGACCTCAACATCACTGAATGTGTTTGGATTAATTGTTTGTGAGAAGCAGAAAGCGTAAAACCAACTTCTAAGACTGAAATTTGGAAAAATATCCCTGGAGATTTCTTTAAATAACTAAGACGAGCCTCCTGAAAAGGATGGATGCTGTAATAAAGGCAAAGAGTGACACACTAAACACTGACAAGTGCTGAAAAATAAATAACTTGTGGTCATTAAAGGTCATTTTGACTGAAAATTAGGTCAAAATTATTTTGGTGCTCTATAGAGCCATATACAGCACGTTCTCTATCAATCTGAAGAACGCTTTCACAAAACAAACACTTAATCATGCAAAGGGTTCTTTGAGTGTTTATGGCTCTGTAGAGAACTATATGAAGAATCTTGAAGAATCATAATTTTTAAGTTTGTAGCTGACCACCTCCTTGCTGCTGGAGCTTTTAAACAATGTGTCCACTCACTGTCCACTCTATTAGACACTCCTACCTTGTCAGTCCACCTTGTAGATGTAAAGTCAGAGACGATAGCTCATCTGCTGCTGCACAGTTTGTGTTGGTCATCCTCTAGTCCTTCATCAGTGGTCACAGGACGCTGCCCACAGGACGCTGTTGGCTGGATATTTTTGGTTGGTTGACTATTCTCAGTCCAGCAGCGACACTGAGGTGTTTAAAAACTCCAGCAGCACTGCTGTGTCTGATCCACTCAGACCAGCGCAACACACACTAACACACCACCACCACGTCAGTGTTACTGCAGTGCTGAGAATGATCCACCACCCAAATAGTACCTGCTCTGTGAGGGTCCATGGGGGTCCTGACCACTGAAGAACAGGGTAAAAGGGGGCTAACAAAGTATGCAGAGAAACAGATGGACTACAGTCTGTAACTGTAGAACTACAAAGTGCACCTATATAGTAAGTGGAGCTGATAAAATGGACAATGAGCGTAGAAACAAGGAGGTGGTCATAATGTTATGCCTGATTGGTGTAATTGCCCTCAGTAAGAAATGAGGACTCTGTATAATGCAGTAAGTTACTATATAATCACGGTTCTACTGTAATTGGCTACGTCACATTACAGCGTTCTAGAACAGGGGCTCTGCTCGGAGCTTTTCTTTGTTCAGTTTTTCGTTCTAATGCGCTGCAATTTTAAGGAAGCACCAGACAGGCTGATGAGCCGCTTCTGTTTATGTGACACAGCGACGTCACACACTTTTAAAAATTTCATCCCATCAACATCAAACGGCCGACTAAACCTGAAACGGCGCGAGGAAGGGAAGGGAAGGGGGGGGTTGTATGAGGGGGAGGGGGGAATACCTTATGAAGCTTCAAACTAACGCTTAAAGTCTTAAAAATCCCACATGAAATATTAACATTTCCCAATACATAATTCAGATATTTATAACATACATTAAAAGCCATTAGCTTCCAAAATAAACGGGCGATGTGATGTTTTCGCCCCCGTGATCTTTCATCTGAGAGACGCGGGCTTCTCTCCTTTATTTCATTATATGTTCATTTGTATGACATTGGACATGACAGACTGCTCGGCGTCGTGGCGTTTAAAGGCAGACTTCACATGCTTTCCTTTGGTTAGCATCAACAGAGACGAGGTGGATGAGGATGAGAGCGTGTTTTCCGCTCGCGAGCGCTGAGGCTCTTGGGGCTCTCGTAGTCTTTGCTCAGTCAAACTCAGCCTGACAGATGTCTCCATCTTGTCTGATCTCATTGCTTACTTTGAGGCGGGGGGGGGGAGCTTTATTGCTTCGTCCCAACAATCACAAACAGGACACGGTCAGCCCTGATCAGACCTGTGAGCTGATTAAAAACACTCTGAGATTGTTTAACCTCTCATTTTCCAGGGAATATTTTGGTTTTTCCATCTGAATTTACAAATCGTAAGGCAAATTATTCACTAACTGCATGAAATAAATGTAAATTTTTATTTTATTTAGTTATTTTATTTAAAAATTTATTTTATTTTTGTAAAAGCTCCCCTCAAATTTAACAGAACGTGTTTTATGATCATAAACATATTGCTGTATGCTTACCATTTACTGCTGAAAGCCATTAAAAATAATGTTTACAGTGCAGATCACTGAAGAGACGCCATCTGTTTATAGTTTATAACTCAGATTTGTGGAAAAATGGGTCGACTTTCAGTAGAAACAAAAAACTGAGTTCAGCTTCTTTTATTATAAGGGTTTAAAATTACATCACCCATCTATTTGACTGGAAAGAAGACAGTTACAGCTCTCATATGACCCCCACCTTTAGAATGTAGCTTATGAAATATGAAAGTTATGAAGAATATGACGAAGTGCATTTTGGAACCACCGGTGGTCCCAAGGAGCTGAAAAGGTTAATATAGTCTGATCTGTAGACTTTCAGTTCATTCACACTCATGTGCGTTTATGTATAACTTTTTAGGTGCTCACTCTAAAAGTGATGGTTCTTCAAGGGTTCTTTAGTAAAGTAGAATGGTTCTGTATAGCACCGTGAACACTGAAAGAGCCCTTTGCATGATTAGAAATGGGTCTTCAGATTGTGCTGTAGATGGTTCTATATAGACCCTTTTTGACAGGGGCATCAAAAAGG